AAAGGGAGTGGGAGCGGCGAGCAGCGACAGCGGCAGCGGGAGCAGGAGCGACGAGCAGCGGGAGCAGGAGCGACGAGCAGCGGGAGGCGCGAGCGGCGACAGAGGCAGCGTTTGCAAGCAGCGACAGCGGCGACAACGACAGCGTTTGCGAGCAACGACAACGGCGAGCAGCGAGATCGGGATCGGGATCGGGATCGAGAGCGGCAGCAGCAGCGGCAGCGGGTTAGGGTTAGGGTTAGGGTTGGGTAAGGGTTATATCGGTTTAGTTGGTTCGATTGAACCAACTAATAACCGAACCAGGACCAAACCAGACCTAAAATCCTGGTTCGGTCGCCTTGGTTTACCTAGGCGCTCGCGCGAAGCGCGCCTGGGCTCGGGCGAGCGCCTAGGCGGCGCTTGTTTGAAGCGCGCCGCCTGGGAGATTAGCGAGGCGCTCAGGCCTCGCCTCACCCGAGCGCCCGAGCGCCTTTTTCAATCACTGTGCTGGCCAACAAAGACTTTAAGAAAATGCCAGATATGCTGACTCAAAGATAACCAGGCTGCAACAAGGAGTGTTGGTAGCTCAAAGTATTTAGGAAGAGATGGCAAGAAGCTGTTCTCATTTCAAGGCAAAAAAGAGCAAGCATAATTGAATAGACAAATGATCACACACCTGTTACAATTACAACAAGAATAACAGCAAAGGCAATGCTTCCGCCATCATACCACCCTTCTTTTATACCCTGAAAATATACCAAAAACGCCGTTACATGCAACAGGATATTACAACAACACAGAGAAACTAGTTTTAGCAGAATGAATGGTGTCTATCACATAAAGGAAATGCAAATGTAGCAATGCCAATATCTGAAATTTTTTGTTGCTTTTCACAAATACAAAGTTTTGCCGATATTAGATTCATATACCAAAGTATCAAATGCAAATCATATTGATGTTACTTTAAAATGCATTAACAGCAGGGAGAATATCTTCAAGCAGAAACATCATGAAAATGATAGCAGCAGATAATTTTTAGATAAATATAATGAGACGAGAAGGCACAAAATTATAAATTTATAAAAACTGCTCTCACAGAAAAGGTGTATCTAGAAAAGTAACAGAATCTTGCATTGTTACCTCTGTCTTTATGCCCAAAACTAGCGATAGAACAGCAGCTATCATAAGGATGACAAGGGTCAAGTCTTGCCAGGATTCCCATAGGAAAACCTAAATGTGAAAAAAAAAAATGAATCTGAACAATGGGCAGATGAGTACTTCCAAGAATGAAGGATTGAGGCATTAGTACTCAATGTACCCAAAAACTTCTTCCTTTCTTTCGAGGATAAGTGTTCGCCCCAAAGATTTTCCTCCTACATAAAACTTCCATATCAACTCCACTAATTCCTCTGTCCAAATCAGTCTTTAACAAATTTGCTAGTCCTTTGACCTAAAATATTGGCAAAATGTAATTGTAATGAAGCAAAAAGATTAGAAAACAGAACATCCAATTTGGTTACCTACCCCACCACCTTCTTCTATAGCAGAAAAATTATGATCCCTCATCATTGTAGTAAGCTGCTCCTCTCCAATTCCAAAACCACCAGTGGGAAATGCTGATCCTCCAGGAGCACCTAAGTCATAAATAAGTGATGATATCAGCTGAGAGTAGCATAAATATGTTTTAACCTCCAATATCATGAGCACAACTTTGTGGCTTATTTTTGTTAAAAATTGTGCACAAATAGCTAGTCATACAAAGGGAAAACAGAAGACTTTAATCATTTTATCCAGTAATTATTGGACTACAGACTACAGTTCAGGAAGATACGGAGGAAGAAAAACTAAGTACTTCCCAGCCCCCTCCTCCTTTCACTATGGTAGTGCTGATAGAAACATAGTTAATTACTGTGCAAACATTAACTAGTGCATTATAGACGTTAGGTACCTGGTGTCCCCTTTACTCCAGCATCTTTAAAAAGCAAAGCTGCCTGAGAAATCAGACCAATGAGATGGGCGAGGAGGTTAAGATATAAGAAACCTGAGCCTATATGCATCAGAAACTATACCCGTATTACTTGTGCATGTAAGCGGATTTTCCTCCTTAGTTGCTCCTTTTCTTCCCGCTTCTTCAAATCCAAGGTATATCTAAATCGACGAGAAGCATTCAGAACAAGTGCTGCTTTCTGTCCAAAATGAAATACAGTCATACATCAGAACATTAAGTAAACTTTGCAGTTAATATAAAGAAAAAACAAAAGTTACTTCAGCGATTTAAAAATACAAGACAAGTATGGTCTGCCATTACTAATAGTTTTAACAAGGTTCTCACAGAGCATAAAAGCAACCATCTGGTTAATTGAATAATAATGAACAATAAAAACTTGCTTATATGATCTAATTGAAAACATCTGTATCTTAAGTTTTGATAAGTTAATGAATGATGCAAAACAAATATGTATGTGACACTTGAAAACATGCTACAATTGCCAACATGTGACAGTAATTACAGGTGGGGGATTTCTTGTCGTAAAGGCAAGAAATGCCAACATGAAATGGCAAGATATACCATTACAGTTTGCAAGAAATGCAAAGGTAAGAAATGCCAACATGAACTATTTATTACAGTTTGTAGTCCTTCAAATTTACATAGTAATTTAGGTCTTGTTTTTCTCCAAATTTTGTTTTTGTTTTTTTACTTTTACATGCCAAGAATTGTTAACTTTGACCATTCAAAGTGCCTACTTTATGAATTGATTAAGTATTTCAGAAAATTGAGCTACTATGACAGCCTAGATCTTGGGCCAAATTTGTACAGTGCTCAAGGAAGAAAGCAGTTCTCCTATCTTGTTCCAACATAAAACAAAATAATGGAGCAGACTCAAATTGTTTTTTTTTTTTTCTGAACAGAAACCAATTTGAGACTAGTTTCAACTTTCAAATTCAATAACCGGTTGGACAGCATGGTAACAGCATACAAAAGGACATACCAACATGCACCATCTGATATCAAAGGAAAAATGAATAATTATATATATACAGATACCTGCACTGGTCCTTGGTTAGACAGGTAAATACAAGTCGTTATGCACCATATCAACTGGTTTTTTATTCCTTAGCATTATGTGGAAAAAGGTTAGTTTCTACAGCATCTAATGCCATATTTAAAGAAACAAATTGACCAAATTCAGACTCAGGTCTGACCCAACATATGTGCATGCTTGGCCAATCTATGGGGCTATGCAACGCTGTAAAAGGATGCACACAGCAGCGTGTCCTATTTCACCTGCCGTGTGGACTTGGGAGCTGTAATGGCTGCTGGCATGACAGCTCATGAGTTCCAGTTTGACCAAGGATGTAGCGGCTTGCAATGGACAGATTTGGGAAGGCTCTAGGTGGTCCAGCGAGAATCCAAAACCAGTTAGGAAAAGGTTCGAAGCCAGTGAATTAAGCAAGTCGAAGCACACGAGATTTCTAACCCCACCAAGGCAGTTATAAGGAGATAAGGTCATGCAACCTTACACTAATCCAAGCAGGACAGGAGAAATGATGATACTGTAGTAGTACTGTAGCAACACTATACTGCCCTGTGAAGTACTGTAGCAATACCATGACAACACTTAGTTATGCTATTTTTAATATATTTCTTAGGTATTGACACAATATAGTGGCCCTGTGCAGTACCATGGAAATACCATAGCAGCACTTAGTTATGCTATTTTTGATATATTTCTTATGTATTAATGATAGATTCCTAACCAAATTCAGAATCCTAGTAAGATTAGGAGGCATGCTGAAGTCTCTTATAGAGGTGTTTGCTGCTAAATAAAGGTTAGCCGTCAGCAGCATGGTATCAAGAAGATGCAATTTATATAAGACTTGAAGAGAAGGTGAATTTATCCATTTGTTTTTCTCCTAAACATGTCAACAAGTAGACTGTCAGAATTGACAAGCCATTGGAGAAGCTTAAGAAAGAATGCCACACCTGCAATATTTGTCGAGTCAATTTGAAAGAGCACTATAACCCCAACTAATCTAGTAAAACTCGACACCAGTCACGCAAAACATGAATAGAGAAGCAAGCTTTCCACTCAAACAAGGATATGAAGGAAGCTCCTAGTCTGTTTTATCTTTTTTTGTCTGTGATATATTTGTTGCAAGGAAAGTGGTGGACAAAAGATTTCATTGAAAAATTATTTCCATGAGAAATATACAACACTTGATTGGTTTGCAAAAGATTTCTAATTTTCTAAAAAATTAGAAAATGAAACATACCTTTTCTTAGAAATCTAAGATATAAGTTTCTTTTTAACTAAGAAAATATCAAAAAGGTTTAAGAGGTAAACCATTTTTCATGCACCAAACAAATCTTATCCTATTCAAGAAGAAAGAAAACAGTCTTTTCTTGCAAATACATGTTCGCATATGCTTTTTCTATCAGAGCCCTTACATAAATTATAAACTAAAAATACTGTAAAAACTATAGGAATGATGAGAATAAAATATAGCAACTATAAAATTAAAAAATATATATATATTGTAAACATTATAGTAATGATGAGAATAAAATATTCATTAAGTCCCAAAAAATAAGGTAATAAAATTAATCAAAAATAAAAATAGAAGAGGATGAGAAGCAATGAGAGAAGCAAGGTGGACTTTTCATAGTCACAAGGGCATACAGCAAACCTTGTACACTTCACAAAGTGCAAGTACAGAAGCAGAATCTTTTGTCTAAGCATATAACAAATCAATAAGTTCCCAACCATTCAATTGCTAATCAGATCAGTAACAAACCTGAATAGCGGGGACCAAGAAATACCAGTCTGATGTTTGTTTCAGCAATTAAATTTGCATTTTGGGCAATAAACGGATGTCACTGATCTGATTATAGCAATAAACGAATGATCATTATAATTATCATTTCTTATAATTATCCCTATGCATTATCCACATCTACTTGCACCAAAAAGTGCTAATCCATTGATGTCATTTCACCAGTCCATCTAAAGTTTCTTTGATATCCATCATCATATGATCTCTTTCATCATGATCTTTCCCCACCTCAAACCACCCCTTTGCTCAGGGTATGTTACAATTTAGACAGACGAGGATGTATAACTAAAAATCAATTCAAACCAAATTGGAGGCATGCTATACAAATTCTGCATCAAATTGCAAGAAGTGTGTGTGAAGAAAACCAACTACGTGTCTCAGGAAAACCAACCACCACCGCAACAGATGCACCTCCAAGAACCGTCAAGGTTAACCAACCCCCTAAAAACATCGACCGAGAAACGCTTAAACAAGAAGAAAAGAAGGAAGCTAGGGGTACCCTCCACCGCCTAAGCCGCGCGACCGGCGCATTCTTGGGAGGGATATCGAAGGCGCCCGGCGCTGACGACGACGACGAGCGGCGGTTAGTTTCAGAGCGGCCATCGCCGCCGCTGCCGCCCCACTCCTCGTCCCGCCGCCGGAGGTCCATGAAGCCGCAGGAGGAGATCACGGCAACCCGACGGGTTCGGAGATGCGCGGGTCCTCCCTGTCCTCTTCTCGTTGGTGTCGGTTCGCTGCTGCTCTCGTCGTCGCTTGTTTGTTGGGCGGTTGCGAGGTCGGTTGTGGCACGAGCCCACTGGGAAGTCTCGGAGTTGACGGACCGACGAGGGAAAAGAGTGCGTGCGCGAGAAGTTTCTGGACAGCTTATGGCCGGCTTGCCGGCCATTTATAGGAAGAGTTGGGACCGTTTAATTTTTTTATTATAATTTGTGAAATACAATATTATAAGTTTATAATAAAAAAAGTAATAATTAATACGTAAATCTTCCTATTTATTTTTTTTCGAACTAATAAGGAAATTTATATATAAAACTTAGGTTAATTTATTAAATTTAAAAATATTAAAAAAATATTTAATGTCTAAAATTATATTTGTGATATAAAATCAGAATTTTAAATAATATATAATATTTTCTATTACGTTTTAACATGAAAACAATCTTAAGAATTGAAAGGGTTAGAAGCAATAATATATTTATATATACTTCATCATCCCACTCCACTAAATATTATAATAAATGCATTATAATAAATTAATCATCGACTTTGGTATTATTAATAAATGCATTATTATTGGATCAGGAACTAAAATATAATTAAATGATCTTACTTTTTATTTTTTATTTAATTAAATAAAGCAAAATGGGTTATTAGTACGTTCACTATGGGGCTTAAATCACACACTTACTTTCTCCATCACATTCACATTTTTATGTTGGAATAATTCTGATTTGAAAATGAAATATGATTTCGGTTCCAAAGCACCGAAAGATGATGATGCTAACGAATCATGGAAGATGGCTAAGCCGACAATGTTCCAATTGAATCGAGCATATATTCGAGAAACTTTTTCTGTCTAAAGGTATTTGCTGGAAAATAGAAATATCCCAACATATATTGGACTCTAATATATTAAAAAAAAATTCTCGAATCAAATAAATTAACCCTTATATTACAATATAATATAAAGACACTAAATATACTCATGAAATTATTTAATTTATACATCTTGAATTTCCATTGAAATTTTTTTTTTGGGTTAGATTTCAAACTTTTATATTGTTTACTATTTTGTAATGGTGATGATGGATTAGCTCATAAGGATCCACCAAGACTTTTAATTTGATACCATATGTACTTGACACAATAAAAGATGCCTACCTTAAGAATAAAGGTGAAATTTGATATCACCAATGAGCTCATCTATTCCTTGCGAGGAATTTACTTGTAGAATATAACTCACTTGAGCTTAGAGATGAGGATTTGCTCTTGGAAGATATCGTAAAGACTTCATGCGCATCTCTTTCTCTCTTATCCAACCAAATCCACTTTATTGGTTATGTCACAATTGATTTGACTCTAAGCTTGCTTGTTCATACAAGTGACATGATGATATGGGTCGGTTTGACCATTTTTTGGATCCTTTTCCTTTCGAATTTATGAGAAGGAGATGATTTGCCCACCACGTTAAGCCAAAAAAATAATATATATATATATATGATAAAATTATTAATATTTTTTGAAATATATCGAATGAAGCTTCAAACTCTTAATAAATATATGGTTATCAAATTATTATGTAAAATGTAGATAAATGAAATGATGCACAAGTAGATACTGTTCTTTTCATAATAAATAGATAAGTGAAGGTTATTAAATAATTTTGAAGTACTTTATAAAACCATCTAATTCTATTTAATCCGAGTGCTTCAAGTGGATTATTCAAAATTGGTGGACTCAATTGGTTTCTTATGATTTTTAAATAATCATGATATAATAATTAGATCGAATCCACTAATGATTTGGTTTTCATTTTTTCCACTTCAATCTTTAGATTTTTAGTTAAGTAATTAATGTATGAAAAATATAAATATATAATTCACCTATTATTTATTTAAAAAATATTATTTCGGAAATATATATATATATATATATGTATATATGTATATATTATAAGATTAATAAAAAATTAACATGTTTTGAAATTAATCATTCATGTCCAACTCCCACAACCTCTCTTTATGAGATGTGACGCAAAATCATAGCATCAAATTGATACCATTCTTGAGAGGAAAGCTAAACCCAATCAAGATAGTAAATTACAATGATTAAAATAACAAACAACATCAGATCACAATTCACTGTCTAAACTAATGGAATAATATCAGAAAAAACAAGTGATTATTACTCTAATTTCCCATTAGACATTTAATTTTAAAATGAGGGAGTTTTCACCGTTAGATCACCCACGAGCGGCCGAGATCTACGGCGTCTCATTCCCTCTGTGAACCATCATCGACCGTCCGATGATGGTTCAGCTGCTCTTGGCCCCTCTCGCTTCAAAACCCTAACGCCAAGACCAAAGCAGGACCCCTATAAAATCCCGCGGCCGACCTCTCACTCTCCTCCTTTGCCCCACGCCATTCCTTCGTCGGATCAACAGAGGACCAAAAGAACGGGTAATGCCAAACCCTCCCCAGTCCATCCAGATCTGTGCATGGTTTGCGGATCGATTACCATCGAGGTTTTCCGGTTTTGATCTAGGGTTTTCGAGATGTCGACGGAGGAAGCGAAAGCGGTGATCCCGGAGTCGGTGTTGAAGAAGCGGAAGAGGGAAGAGCAGTGGGCGCTTGCGAAGAAGCAGGAGGCCGACGCGAAAAAGAAGAAGGCGCGCGAGAATCGGAAGGTAATCTTCGCCAGGGCTGAGCAGTACGCCAAGGAGTATGACTCGCAGGTGCGCATTTGGAACTGTTGATCGTTGTTTGTGTGTTTTCTTGTACTTTAAATGCTAAGGATTCGATTTTTAGGAGAAGGAACTGATCCGATTGAAGAGGGAGGCGAGGATGAAGGGTGGCTTCTATGTTAGCCCCGAGGCCAAGCTTCTGTTCATCATCCGCATTCGAGGGTATAACACCTTCTTATTCTCTTCTGTTGTTTGAATCCTTAGGTCATCATCAGTTACTGAATCCATTTCCTATGGTATCTTTATAATCATTGATGTACATGAAATGTAGTATCAACGCCATGCACCCTAAGACACGAAAAATCTTGCAGCTCCTTCGACTCAGACAGGTATAGACTGTCAGCATTCTCTTGCAAATTACTTCCTTTTTAGTACCTTTGTTAATGTGCATTTTGCGGCAGATATTCAATGGTGTATTTCTGAAAGTTAACAAGGCCACGATGAACATGTTGCAAAGGGTGGAACCTTACGTGACATACGGGTGCTGAAGATCATCTGCCCTTTTGGATTTGTTCGCAACTATATTATTGTCAATGTGGTTTTGGAATAAAGATTATGTTTTTCTGAAAGTTAACGTATTCTTCAGGTACCCTAATCTCAAGAGTGTTAGAGAGTTGATTTATAAGAGGGGATACGGAAAGTTGAACAAGCAAAGAATTCCTTTGACAGACAATTCAATCATCGAGCAGGTATATTAGAAGAGGCAACTTGGTTGCATGTTTGAACTACTTATTATCTTCTGTTTTATTTATAGTTTACATGATGATTCCGGTGCATCTCAGGGTTTGGGGAAATATGGTATTATCTGTATTGAGGATCTTGTCCACGAAATTATGACTGTTGGCCCTCACTTTAAGGAGGCAAACAATTTTCTGTGGCCATTCAAGTTGAAGGCACCACTGGGTGGACTGAAGAAGAAGAGAAGGCACTATGTTGAGGGAGGAGATGCTGGAAACCGTGAGGATTACATCAATGAGCTTATCAGAAGGATGAACTGATGACTGAGTTTGTCTCTAATGTCTTAAATTATCAGAGAACGGAAAACATTTTAATTGAGTTTTAAGCTAGCATTGGAGTATCATCCAAGCTTTGCATTTGATGCTTGAATCAATCATTAGATTTGTTCCGTATACTGATGTTTTTGTTCTATTTCTTTGTTGTACATTTGCAATCATTTGCATGGTTACTGTTGCTATGATTTGGATTTGTGGGAAGTTCAGTGATGTCATTTGTCAACATAACTAGCATTGTTCCGTCTTCTCTTATGGGGATGCTATAGTCTTGAAGTGGGCCTATTTTGGTAGGTTTGAGTGCATAGCCTCGATGCTTGCTACCAAAGGAGACATAATATCATAATGAGATATAACAAAGTATGACAATATAGCATAAATTGAAACATGGATTTCTTTGTCATGTCCCATAGTGTACCTGAATAAACTGCTCTCGATGCGGTCATGGTGTTTGCTTTCTTCTTTTCATGTGGAAGGAAATGTTAGTGGGAAACTTAAGTTTGAACTAGATATTTAGTTCCTACGGAATTAACAAGTGGAGTTAATTATGACTTAATTTATGCATTCTGTTTCGATGCATGTTTGTCTGATGATGCCGACCGGCCATTCCTGGGTTTTAGGTCTCATAGCTAGAGGCAAGTGAAAAAAACATGATATTTTCTCTTTGGGATGTTTGCATGGTTTATACAAGGCTTTGAGTGTAAACTTGCAAATCACATATGTTTTATACAAGGTATAGTGATGGCCTTCAAACAGGGCATTCCTGTAACTGCTCCACAACTAGATTGTTCCAAATATGTTTTTGTTCAAGCCATCAAAGGATAACTTGTTACATATTCTTCTCTTATTATGCTGGTTTCTGAGTTACTTGATGACTTTCCCAGTGCTTCTTTTAACAGACTAAAAGTTTATGCACACACACTGTTAGTACCAATAGCTCCTTAAAAGTATGGCACTCTGTATTTTAGTTGAGATGTCTATTTTAACTTGATCTTGGTTATGAGTTGACTGTAGACACCAATTAGACCTTGAAGCTAGCTGATGGTGGGTTGCCTACTAATTTTTTTTGGCTGCGAGTTGTATAAGAGTTCCAACAGTTGCCTGTGCCTGAGAAAATGATGCTTAGTATTCATATGCAATACAGATTTTAGTTAAATATGTTGGTTGTTTTATTGTGGTTGCAATCCTCTGCACTGGTTTGCCAATTTCATGTCCCTTCTGTTAGGACATCCAGGCTTCACAATTGGTATATGAAATATGCTGGATGATACTTGTCAGAAGAGTGTTTGTTTCTTAATGTCAATTAGAGAAAGCAAGTTGGAATTGCGAGTCATTGGCTAATAGAGTTTTGTCATTTGCTGGATGAGTGTATTTATCTCTCTACTCTGCATTGTTCTTGATTCAGATACTTTTTATGACACTAACCCAGTGTAGTTACACACCTCTGGAACGTTTAGATCATTAAAGCAATATTATTAGATACACTAACCCTTATTTATTAACATACAAAAGAGCTACGAGATCTTGGGATTATATACTTAAATCAAAATCTTATTTTCGTTAATTGCTAAAGCAAAGGAATTTCCTCTCTCAATTTTTGAAACAAAAACCATTTGAAATCTCCTATTACGAAATCAATTCATCCCTATAACCAAAAAAATTTAGTAATCAAGTCATCCCCTTGTCACAAAAGAATTCCTATTACGGAATATAATTTTGCTCTGATCAGTACATATTGATTGATATTTATCAATCATGTAATACTGTAAACATTACTATAATGCGTAAAAAAACTATTTTTTATTAATAATAATCATGATTAAAAATATACTTTGCAAATACTAATATTATTTTGGGGCAGCATCTGACTACTATTTGTTAGATGTTAATGCAATTATTAAAATACCTTATGATATTATCTAAAATCATAAAATTTATTTTTAAAGATTATTTTATGTTTATTTATATTATTATTATTTTTAATTTTATATTTAGTCATTATATATATACTTATAAATTTAAATAGAAAATATAATTTTACTTTCGAATAAATATTAAAAAATATTAAAAAGGATAAGTTTTTCACATATAATTTTACCGAACAACACTTGTAACAATCAATATTTAATATATAATTTTATCTATTATTTATCAAACATGTAATAGAGCATTCTACAATCATATTTACTCAAATATTTTTCTTGAAATTTATATCAAAATATATAAATGCGTTCTAATGTTAGTTCATTATGAATATTAAAGAAGGGATCTGTATGCTATATATAAAATTTATAAGGAACAATACATTATTTTCAACTTAAGAAGGATAAATACGTAAAAATATTTTTTGTTTTACTTACTTTGAATGCTTCCCAAACGATGTTGTTTTGCTTGTTTCGTAACGAGGGACACAATTCATTCCTCTCCCTCTCGTCGGTAAAGCAGCAGCGATGGAGGCGGCCGCAAGAGCGCCGCCGGCCCCCCAAGGGCAGCATCCTCCGCAGCTGGCGGAGGCTGTGGCTCCACCGAAGGTCGAGCGGCTGAATCAGGTGGTGCAGCAGCAACTGAACCTGGAGTCGGTCAAGACCCGTGCGCTTGGCCTGTACAAAGCCATCTCTCGCATCCTTGAGGACTTCGATGCCTTCGCCCGCGCCAACACTACCCCCAAATGGCATGTATTCTTCTCTCTGCCATTAGCCGACATCTTCACCTTCTCCTTTCTTCGTGTGAAAGATCTCTTTCTAGGGTTTCGATTTTTCATGAATTTATTCCCTTAATCACTTGTTAATCTCTCTAAGAAATGAATTTTTTTTCCTTTCTCATCAAATTCATATTGGCGTTTGTTGTCTGAATAGTATTATGAGAACTGATTGGCAATCTAAAAGGCTAAGTATCTGGTCATGTGTACAACAAAGAAATGTTGCAACACATCATTGTCTGCTCAAGTGTAGGTTTTCTCTAGATCATCCAATGGAAAATTGGAGCTGAACATATAATTTCACAAGTATGTTAAATTGCAGTTATAATGTTAGAATAGTTTGATTACCGTTTCAGTCATTGCAGATATTATTTAAACTATCACCAGTGAATCTTTACTCAAGCATTAAATGAATTTGTTAACTGATAAGTGTGATTATACGCTACAGGCAAGATGCACTTGGGCAATTTTCTATGGTGAGTATGGAGCTCTTCAACATTGTGGAAGACATCAAGAATGTATCCAAGGCATTTGTTGTCCACCCAAGAAATGTAAATGCTGAGAATGCAACGAGTAAGACAAAGCCTTTTTCTACTTTAGCCATATGTATCAAAATATTTAACTTTCTTTGACAAGGTTTTAAGATTGAAAAATTAGTGTTCTATAAACAATATTCTGTATAGATTACTTAGATTTTTTATGCTAGGCATTTTCCCATAATTGGGGCATCTCTCACATTATTATATGCATAAGATTATCTTTTCCCAAGTATGACAGGGTTTCATGAGTTACAGCAATTCTTGTTGTTGGGAACAATATTGAGTTGTTGAACATTGAGCTGTTTTTTTGTGATATAAACCTCCTAGATTTTAATATTGGTATAATTGTTGCTGTTATTTGAAGCAACAAATTAAAAGAACACCTTGTTCAATGTATTTTCTTTGTGAAAACTTAACTCTTATTTCAGTCAGTTCAAATAACAAAAATCAACAAAACTTATCAAGATGGTTTGAGCAGGTACAAGAAATAACATAGATCATGAGAGGTAGAAAATTGTTAATCAATAAAGCATATCTGGTTTCAATGTGTTGGTTGAGATGGCAAAGTAGTGAAATACATTTTTGCACAAACTATAGGTTAACAAATGTAACCCAGGAGACTTGTAAGTTGACGGCCTAAAGCTTTTTCTTTAGCAGCTCATGGGAGTCAATCCTGTAAGAAATGAACTTAACATATACCCTTTTGTCTAATTGCTTCTCTTGCGTATTTTTGGTCTTAGAATTTTTCTCATTTCATGTAATAAACCTGCTTTTGCTGAACCCTCCAATGACATGATCTGTAACAAACTGTCTCAGTACTGCCTGTGATGTTGTCATCAAAGTTGTTACCGGAGATGGAAGCAGAGGATAACACAAAGAGGGAGCAGTTATTATATGGGATATCTGGTCTCCCTGTACACATGCAAATTGAGAAGTTAAAGGTAATCTAAAGTTCAATCTAGAGCAATTTATGATTACCGTATTATTCAAATCAATATGAATATCCTTTGCCTTTGTCTAGACAATCTCTTGCTGGAATTTAACAGGCTAGAATTGACATGATTGGAGCAGCTTGTGAAGCTGCAGAGAAAGTCATATCTGACTGTCGTAAAGCCTATGGACTAGGTTCACGTCAGGGATCAACACTTGTTCCAACCTTGGATAAGGTTCAAGCTGCAAAGATTCAGGAGCAAGAGAATTTACTTAGAGCAGCAGTGAATTTTGGTGAAGGTGCTCCTTTTGAGTATAATCATCCCTTTGCCAAGAGATCTTTTAACTGGAGTTAAATGATATCAAAAACTATTATAAAATATCAACCGATTGGAATTTTAGATGTACCTGATATAAAATACGTATGTAGGGTTACGGATTCCAGTGGATCAGAGGCAGCTTCCAGCTTCCCTTCCTAGTCATTTAGTGGATGTGCTCACAGTTGGTGATGGTGCACAGACTTTTGGTGATAGTTCTGGTATTTAGCATCACGATTTCCATTTCCAGCTTAATTTGAATTCTTGATCAGGACATGTAACATGCATTCAGGGATAAATGCTGAACTCCATTTTAATGAGTGGCCTTAGAAATGTGTGCTTTTTATATATGAATTATAGTTTACAAATATGTATTGCTAATGCAGACTTACTGGTACTATTCATTTCTTCTTAGCAGGTTCTTACACCAAAAACACCCCTCCATTTTCATCCAATAATGTAAACACTCAAGGAATACTGCAGGTCTTACTCTAAAAAACTTGCAAAAATTGTCTCTTTAGTTCTGCTACAATTCAATGTTTTTGAATTTGTGTAATATAGGTTTTCTGGAAGCATAGGCATATGCCAATATTTTTACTTTTTTCTTTTAATTGGTTGCTTCTCTTTTTGTGTAATAATTACTTGGTTATTTAGGACTTTAATGTCATTTATTTTGCTTGTTGACACTTTTGAATACACAGTATTTTGCATATAGGTCATGTATTCATCAAATGACACCCCTTCCCTTTGCCAACAGAAAAGAAAAATGGTTAAACAAATTTAGCCCCTAGTATAGTATGCTATAAAGTCTTATCGAAGATGTTTTTCCTTTTCTGAAAATCTTGGCATCCAATAAAATCCTACTTAAAAAGAACTCTAGAAGTCTCTAGACACTAGTCCTAATAGGTAAACTCTTTCTATATATATATATATATATATATATATGTACTTAATTCAAACAGAACTTTAGAACTTTGCTAATTTTGCAATTAAAAAAGGAAACTATTATTCAAAACAAGTAGAAAACTAGAAATAAAAATCTAGACCTAACCAAAAATTTTACTTGTGACTTGGATCACCTCTACTTTTTATGTACCAGTTGCCTTCCTCTTCCATGTTGGCTAACAATTAGTAGTTTCTAAGATCGCATTCCATTCCCTGGCTTCAACTGGTCTTCCATTTGTACAACTTTTCAGGATTTTATGTAGAATAAATTAGTTATTTAGTAGACAATGGTTGACTAGGATTTTAAAAATATGGGAGCAATAACTCTAATAACTCTAGTATTCTGCATATGTAACAAAGAGTTTTGAGGTTGAGCATTATCTATATAAGAATTAAGGCTTGTCGTACCACAGCTTACCGTTTGGTATGGGCTGTACATAATGGTCCGACAGGAGGCCAGTATAGGCGGTACATACTAGTACATCAGTATGTCTCACCGTACCATATGTTGGTATATTGGTATGGCTTAGTATGTATCATACCGACAGCTGGTCGATACACCAGTACGGATCGATAAGGCAAGCCGTGGTAAGAATAACTTATTCATTTATTATATTCATTTTTCTATTTTGAATTTTCTAGCATAATTATTTTTTTATGTAGAATCATATCATATGTGATCTGAGCTGGTGCAGACTCCTGGAGGGCAGTTGATTGCAAGATCTGTTCCCTCACCGTCCAGTGCTGCTTCATTCGATAATGCATCAACACCTCCTATGCCATATGTTAATTCACCTCGATCCAGTACAAACATAACAAATACACCATCACCACAGCAACAGGTGCAGCAGCAGCAGCAGCAGCAGCAGCAACAGAGGCAGAAAGTGATGCAGTTACCTCAACATCAGCAACAACTTCTGGTACAACAGCAGTTGAGACAATCTTCAAGTACAGGGGTACTGGGTCAGGTTAATTACTAGTTCCTCTTCACTTATAAGTTTTGATGGCTTGCTGTCTAGTTAGTTCCTTAAGGTCTGCATTGCTATTTTGTTTTTTAAGATTTTAGTTTGTTAAAAAGAAGTTGATTATGCCTATTTTGAAAAGAAAATGATAATCTTTTGTAGGTGATATTGCAACCATAAGTTAGAATTTGCTTTGAACATGAACATATATCAAATGGATAATTTTGTTTTCACAGATCTTCATATATTTGGTCAAGTTTTATGATAATAAATGGCATTTATCACTTAAATGTAACTTGAAAGTAAGGTTTTATTTTATTTGATGGGTTCATATTGGGCAGCATTTGTAGGTCTGGGCATGATGGCATGTGGACCGCCCCTTTTTGGGTGGTTTGCAGTCAATTCAATAGCTATTGGGTGATAACCCTCCTTCGCCTTCTTCTCCTTGCTGCCTCTTCCTCTTCTTAGTCCTCTCCTCGATTAATTCTAAACCTGACCTGTGGAGATAATGTTAGAATAGGATCAAGATCAAATATTTGAAGCTTAACTTTAATAATACCTAGAGTAGATTGGAGAGTATTATATAATTTAATATATCAAAATTTCCTAGAAGTAGAAAATTTAGAAGAGATTGATCCTTCAAAGCAGGATAGTTAAAGTGGAGAGGAGCATCATTGAATGTTGGGTACAACTAGGAAACAACATTGTACAAAGAACATGAATGTGTGGTGTTACTAGTACTGAATGACATATAAATAATTCATTATAGAGAAATTAAGTATAGCTTTTATCAAGGAGAAAATGATGGAAAATGATTTAAGATGGTACAATTGATGTTTTAAAATCTAATTCTTTGCTAGTTTTAGTAACTTATCGAAATAGTATGGATACTGGTATATTGGACAATAAATTGATTTTTACTATATGGTATTACTGAATAAAATAGATAAAAAATAAATTGTATATGTACCATTATTGGGTTATATATTTTGATATTGATGCTTGATTAGACCAGTACATATTAGTCGTATTTGCTAGTGTGACTGGTATTTGGAACCTTACAATTATATTCTGAATAGGTGTATAAATATTCTAGTTAGATGAGGTGCATCAACTAGCATGTGGAGAGGCATTGGAGGACCTTATAAAAATTTATTAGAACCATAAAAATTATTTGATTGATTTGAGTTTGACTAATGTTATTCCTCTAGAACCAACAATTTCAAAATTGATTGGACTGGTCCATACTGATTAGTATCTGCTGGTCCAACCATAAAATGGAATGTGATTATTGTGATTTCAATGAGTCTGGTTTGAAATAGAGATTCCTGCATAGTAACTCAACTAAATCGGGGTTACTGATCAATATCAATGATTAAAACTAGGATTACCGATCTATAATCATATCCCTTTTACAAACAAAATAAATTTTCTTATGATAGTTGTCTGTTCTATTTTAATCTTTTTTTTCCACTCATGCTTTTCTCTTCCTTTCTTTCTCTTGTCACTTTTGGCTCCTCTGTCTCTTCTCCTCTCTGTCATGTCTCTGCCACCACTCCATTGCCTCATTCCGCCCAATGGCATCACCGCTTTGCCACCTCCATTACTGTCCCATTGTGTTGCTGCCTCTCTTTGTTTGCCTCGTTCTTCACTTCTCTTGTGCTACCTCCTCGTTTGCCTTCCCTGCTTCCTCGCTCTTCCTCCTCCCTCATCCTTCTCCTTCTCCTCTTCCTCGTTCCCTCCTCCTCCTCCTCCTCTCTCTCCCTCCTCCTGCCATGTTCCCTCCCTCTTTCTGTTTGATCTTTGCCAATTGGTATGCCAGCATACCACATGTCAATATGTTCGTATGTACCAAACCTGTACCTGTCCAATCAGTGGCCAGTATGGGTCTTGGATCAAAATCTGGAATTGTGCTTTGTACAAGGCTAAATGGTGGGCAAGGATCCATATTATAGACCTTAAAGAATTGGAAGTTGTAACATACGACATGTTATTATTATTGTTGTATAAACTATAAACTATAAGTTGGCTAGAAAAGGTGCAATTGACTTAATTGAGGTAATAAATGGCCAAAATTTGATAGCTTAGTTTCATTTTTCACTTCAAAATTTTCCAGTATTGATACTTTTAACCAACGTTCGCCGTACCGTACCGTACCAGCGTTTCGACCCGGGCTCGGTACCGGTACGGTACGGTATACCGCTTGGTACACCCAGGTGTACCGAGTACAGTGCGCTGCTACAGTGCTACAGTGCGCTACTACAGTGCTACAGTGCGCTACTACAGTGCTCGGTACGGGCGGACCGGTACAGGGCGGTCCGTGTACCGTTAGCCTGTCGGACCGGTACGTACCACCCGTACCGGGCGGTACAGTCCGGTACGGCAAACCTTGCTTTTAACCATTCTTCATCTTTTAATTGCTATTAACATTTAAATTAATGTAATCTTATGAAAAAAATCTCTTTGTTTTTGTGAAATTTATACAACAACAATAATAAAAAGCTGAAAAGTCTCAACCATTTGTGACTGGCTATATGAATCTTTTGTCATCACTGAGATTTCTATCGAATGAAATCTTTAGAGAGCCAAATATTCCTATGAAATTTATAGGTCTTTTTATTTGGTACTGATATTCCTAGGTTCCTAACCACCAATGCTGCTTAATTGATTACCATATGTTCTTGCAGGGCACAATTTCCCAACTTCATGATTTACCAGGACAAACGCAGCAAAAGTTTCAACAGGTACTTCCCATAGCTGTCGTTTTTTTTATGTATGTGTTACTAATGTTGGTATCTGTGAGTTCATAACGATATTATGATGCAAAAGTATCTCTTCTCTAGATACCTGGACAGCATCAAATGTCATATTCTCAGCCAATGTTGCAGCAGCAATTTCAGAATCGACAACTGCAAGCTTCACACATGCAGCATAATATGACACAAAATCAGATTAACCAAGTAAATCTGAGGAGCCACTTAAATCAGTACTCTGGAGCAAACAGTGCCTTGTACAATGCTGCACAGACATCGCCAAACTCTCAAATGGTTGGTTTTTTTCTTTTTAATTCTAGATAGCAACAGAACATATTGCTTTGATTTTTTTTCCTTCTATATGGGAGGGTTAATATGATCTCTAATCACCTTCCATAAGCATTCAATATACTATTTTTTTATGCTTAATTTACCATGCATCCTATTTCTCTGGATAATTTTGACTGTAGTTATACAGATGATGGTGGTATCAGGATTTTGTAAATGGAAAATGACTGCTTCCCAAAGAGCATTCAGCTGTCTTGATGAATAATGACCCATCATTCTTTGATATGCTTTAATTTTCTTATTTATATGAGGAATGTTAATAACCATTTGTCATGCTAAGTTATTGTTTTAGTGAAGTCAATCTTCATAATTTTTTTGCCGTATAATGTATTTTCCAGAATACTAACACAAACTTCCATATAAGATGTATTTGTCTGTCTTTTATATTTTACTTTGCTGGAATCATATGCTTGTTTTCTTTGTTTCAGATCACAAACATGTCAGCTTCAATGCAATCTCAATCACTTTTGCCCCGAATGCAGGTACTTCTTATGCACAGCTATGCTATTTCAGAATTTTTTTGGGGTATGCTTTTGATATCCTTTTATATGATTTTAACTTTTTTAATATATTTGCTTAAGTTTTATAAACAAATTTATGGTTACTAAACCTACCTTTATTGTTTATCTCTAGAGTTACTAAACAAATTTCCTTGATCTCCATAACATTAACAAGTATATTTTGATCTTCATCCTTTATGGATCTAATCAAACCTTAATTCCTACTCCTTTTTTATAGCCTTAGCGATTTGAAAAATATTGTTTTCCTCATCCTTAGTACTGAGCTTATTATAAAAATTATCATATGTGATAATAGTTTTTTTTGCAGTTTTGTATCTTTTTGCAATTTTGCTTAGTTTTATAATTTTGCCAATATTTAACGAATGACCTTTTAATAGTGATCACCTTTTGTACTTTTTTGCACTACCAATTTTCTTTTAAAGCTACACCTCTACCCTTTAGATTCTTTGTTTCCTTTGTTTGGTCCCTAATATGCATGTAATAATTTGAGCGCTTCAGTATGACAAGAACAGTTTCAGTTATATATACTTTTTTGTTCATGACTGTTAAATTGGAGGACCGGGAGGCAACATTGGTAATGAACTGCATCAGACTTTTGGATGATATGTTTCACTATTGGTGGTAATTTACAGAAGTTAAGAGAGTATAATGATGCTTCTCATATAGAGTTCTGGGTTGCCAATATTTGACATAGTGTCATATTGTTCTTCATGTTAGTTTTGCAAGTTGTGGAATTACCATAGTCCATAGCCATACCAACACTGAGTATCCCTGCGACCTTGCCTCCTATTGCTTGAAAATTTGAAGTGAATAATGACCAGGACAAATTATAAAACAAAGTTATAGATGGATGATTGTTGATAACTGGGTTTGGGACAGCAAGCAGATTTGGTTTGTGGACAATTTTGGTAAAATTTTTGACAGATGCAGTCATGCAATTTACATAACCTAATTGTAACGCTGATCCTGATTCAACAAACTAATCATACAGTTTATTTCATGCCACAATTGGGCTTGGATTGCTAATTATGGTAACTGGCAAAATAAGAATGTTGCTCTGATGCTTCTCTTACGAGGATTAATCTTCATTTTGTGTTTATCTATTATGTTTGGTGTACTTTATTTATTTGTTGCTTTCCCTGAATCCTTTTGATTTCAACAAATAATGTGGTCTTCCTTGGAATATAACACAAAAGATAAATGAACATAGTGCAATTAGAGAGATGGATAAGGCAGGACATTTAGTAGCTACCTGTTAAATGTACTGTATTTGGTCCTTCTGTAATTCAGTTGTCTTTTAGATGCTATAGTAATCAATAGTCTTGTCTTGGTCCTCGTGATTTATACATGCATTAAATTATATTGTTATTCCAGCCTTGCTTGCTTATTATAATTGATGTTTAATGATTTGGTCGCTGTGTTCAAGTTGATGTTCTTTATAAGCTAACCATGTTTTATGTTCAGTATTTTTTAACAACCCTTTTTGTTATCTTCTTAGTTTGGTTTAACTGGTGGGCATCCCCAAAGAAATCACCCATCCCAGATTTTGAATGATCAGAGTACGTATTAGATTCTTGTCTTTGGTTAAACTTTTATGTAGATGATGATGAAAGCACTGTTTATTTTTAGGTTAGATTCTTTTAACAGAATTTGTATTGTTCAAGAATTACTGGAAAATGTTAAACGAAATATCATTGCAGAATATTTATTAGCTGTCTTAGTTCACATCGTTAGAGCAATTTAGCATAAAATTCACCTACATTTTTCTTTATTTAATGTAAATTATGTGAATTGTCGTCTGAAAGTTTGTTTCTTCAGTTAAAGTTTACATAACATCATTGCACAGTTCGTGCAAAGTAGAGTGAAAATAGAGCTGATATAAATTATACTATGAAGAAACCACATCTTTACCCACTGTAGTCTATGAATTCAAATGCTAATGAGTATGAAACAGATACTAAATTTTGTTACCATATTTGTAAAGATGGATATGTATACAAAGCGGGTATATGATTGATTCAGACTTGAATAAGATTTTAGGTAGATTTAGTTTGGTAATTACATGATTCAAGGATAAAATTAACAAATGACTAAGAAGCATTACACTGATCAAGGATAAAGTTGACAGATAATAGAGTAACTAATTGAAATCGATCAATTATGTTTTGTTTTGTTTTGTTTTCTTCTTTTGGCAGGAAAACATTAAAACAAATGTGAAAAGAAAGGGTAGCATCAGATAAAGGGAATGCAGTTTAATATGGGCAAGTTTGATACTTTGGAATGTGTTAAGATATCTGGATGTTATAATACTGGTTGAATTCACCATATTGATTTATTATACAGATCTGGAAATATATTTGGACTGATACTACTTGATACAATTTTATGGTGTTGAAAATTTGTTTTCAGGTTTAATTATGCACTATATAGATATTAGCTTAGTTTTAATGCTTGTTAACTGCTGATTTTCTTGACTGGAGAGGAGAGCATTGTGAGCTCCTTCGGGAGCATGAACTTTGAAAGACAGACCATAAACTTGATTTAATTGTTATTATGCAAGAATGATAATGATTTAATTTTTTATCATTTACATTTTATACTTCCATTCATTAACTCATTGCATGTAGGACCAGAAACATTCTATATAAAGATGCAGAAAAATGCAATATAACAATAATTAACAATAGTGTGAAATCGATAGATCTGACTGAGGAGAAAATGTGAAAATATTATATTGCATTCAGTGTTATTAGCAAATGCACCTATATGCTACAATGGGCAACCCTCAGATTTTAAGCCTATGCATATCACACTGTGTTTAATATACATTATATACAAGCATAGTAACACGTTCTCAAACTTGTGGCTCAGCCAGCAAGAGTTTGCCAACAACATCAACGAAGTTTTTTGTTGTATGTCCTTGTAGAGAGATATATAATATGCTTAATAGAAGAGAGATCGGGAAGTGAAATAGCATAAGGGTGAAATTGATGGACTAAATTACAATCAGTCTCATTGTCTTCTGTGCATCCATAAAAAAATAGATTGGCTGCAAACAAATTAGTACTCTGGTTATCACAATACAAAGTAGTAGGAGCAGAGAAAGATATTTTAATATCAAACACATTAGCAGTTTTATGGGTACTTGCTTTTCCAGGATACAAGGGAATAAGATCATCCAAAAGCCAATAGTTTGTCTATTTGTAGTATCACTATGTTACCAGTTTTACCTGTGTATAAAACCGTGCTATAAGCCTATCACCAACACAAGTAACATTGGTAGAAGCACAAAGCTCCAATGCTGATGTAGAATGGGTATAAAAGAGATCGAACTATAGTTCACCGAAGATTACAAAGAATGCACAGAACTTCAGAATAATGAACATAATGAGGGACACTTACAAACTGGTAGGCAACATGTATAGCATGTGCAACATTATGCCTAGAAATAGTAAACAAAACAAAAACACCAACAAGCTGATAAAATCATGTAGGTTTAAAAAGTGGATTGGCCAACTGGATGAAGCTTCAAATGAAGCTCTATGGGTGTATCAGCAATACAATCGTTAGATATGCAGTCTTCACTGCTTAAATCATAGGTGCACTGCTGAGAGACTAAGTATCCTTATCTCATATTGATGCTGGAGATGGTCCTTCATAAAATCAATCATAGAGGTAACATTTCTAGTCAATAGTTTGCACATAAAGAAATTTAATAGTGGCATTAGGAGAATGCCACATGAAAAGAGCATATTTATGGCATTTTAAAGTAAAGCTGATTCGAAGAGAATGCCAAAATGTTCAAACCAAGCATGCAGGGCCTGCTTAATTCGTAAATGGCATGATTGAGGTGACAAACAAGACAGGAAAAACATGAAAGACCGGGTGTCGACCTCCTCAGACGAACCGCCATGAAGAAAATCATTTTTCATATCTAACTGGTCAGGAGCCAACTAGAAACCGCAACAATAACGATCATCGCTTGAAGCCTGAACCGATGTCATGTGCATATCTCTTCACGCGGTCTGTACTGTATTTTTTTTTAAACCACAAGTGACAAGCCTGATGTTATTGTGCTATAGAGGGCCATCAAAATGGTCTTTTTTCGTAGCTAATATCAACATTTTTTATCCCAATTACTGTCTGCTGCATAGCTCAAAGATCCTCCATGGCAGCCTGCCAATCTGGATGCATGATAGCCTCCTGGTAGGACTGGGTCACATAACTTCATGTTGGAATAATTGTCAAAAAAGCATACTGCATACATAATAGGAAAACTACCTTAAGAAGAAAGCGGAAAAAGACTCAATGCATCAGAATTCATTAAATCTAAAGGCGACAAAGATCAAGTTTGATTAAATGTAAAAGGTAGGGCCAAGTGCTTTTTCAACCTGCAGACATTACAATTAAACAAATAGGAAAATAACCCTTCACTTAAAACACCACATCTAAGCAAATATTACAAATAACTAGAAAATGTAACTTCATTTATAATGCCACAATCTTAAAGAAGATAATTATGACATGACAAATAGAAGGTGCAGAAGGAGAAGTGGATGCAGTAGTTGGGAAATGATGATTCTTCATCTGATACAAGTCCCCAACTTACGAAATGCAGAATCTTGCGCTAAGCAAGAACATGACACGGATATGTCAGTATAGCCAGAGACAGTTGACTAACATAAATAAGATTCATGAAAAGTTGAGGAATGTGTAAGACATTTGGAAAAATCAAATATACTATGAGGAAACTGTGGAGTAGTAAAGCCAAAGTTTAAAATATCAATTGTAGTAGTTGGTACAGGTTGGTGTTTATCATCTGATAATCAACAGGGATCCAAACTGGGCAATTTTGCCTGGTTCGGCCCCATATGAGTTGTACTGCCAAGTAAGCTCACTGCACTTGGCTTACTGCATGGTTTATTTTCATTTATTGTTCAAGCATCATGGTGATTCAGACATCAGAAGTTTGACTATTGCAAATGTGGCACTTTTGCATTAATAACCTCTAAAGACTATGTGAGCAGTATTTGAAGAAATGTGTGGAAAGTGACTGATGATAACAAATTTGACTATGTTTTTTTTGGAATCTGAAGTGAAGTAAATGAGTTGTTGCCACATTTATATTACAATTAAATTTCCAACAAAATAGTGAGTGAACAAACTAAAGAGAGCATGTGCCGCAAAAGTTCTATTTATACCACTGTGTCAATGTCATATTTGGTTGACCCTGTTCTGGAAGTAATATATGAATTTTGATTTCCCCGTGAGAACATATAGGGGATGCAATAATTCACATGTCAAGCATGTAGTCAACCCCTTAAAGTGTTCTATTTTAACTGCCACAGTAAAAATTAGTATGTAACTTTGTGCTCCTTTTTTTTCCTTATAGCATGACAAAATGAAAGAAACAATTGATGGAGTTGCATGTTGCTTTTGATGTTGATTGGTACATTTTTGTGCTAACATGGTAATTGTACTGATTTATTGGAAGTGTGGAGTAATTATTTTCCTTTTGTGTGGTTCATGATATATCAAGAATGAAAAGACAACTTTGATGCATTTGATTTTGGTTGAATGTTGATACGTGATGGCAAGAACAGTGTGCTGATACAAATTGAACCTGATCCATCAGCAGGATAAGGTTTCTTGACCAACATATAGGGTTGGTTTGGGTTGATGGATCAAGGCAGTTTTTTTTGTAAGCAAAAAAGGAGAAAAGGAACCTATTGGGTAGGTTTGGGTTGAGTTATACCATTAAGGAAAGGTATCCCGAACCAAACCTGTCCCATGAACCCGACATGTCATAAATGGTTTATGTCCAGGTCATCTTGGTTGACCCAATGAGCCTAGTTCAAGATTTCCCACCCCTTCGTCTGGTTCTGAAGCAATACATGCTAAAATGCACCTCCTACCTGAAGCGATGCTTGCTGAGAGAAACAACGAATTCTTAAAACCATTCTTTTGCATGTCTTATTCATCACTTACCTGAATAATGATGAATTTTTCTTTCAGTCTGACCAACAGAAGGCTTGATTTCTTGTTGTTGCAGTGTTTGGCATGGGTGCCTCAAATCCTGCTAGTATGGTGGCGATTCAACAGCAACAACAAGGTGGGTTCGGAAATATCCCATCCAATACCCAGAACCTGCAACCTGGCATGGTAAACCTTCCAAGTACGACGCAGAATCCCAGCTTTCCACAGCAGAGACAGCAGAATCAACAGTAGTTTATGGACCAGACAGTCCCAGAGGCTCTCTTGTAGCGCAATGGCTAGCAAAAAAGAAAGCTATCACTATGATCATCAGCAATGAAACTAGAAAATTGCCAAGCAGGTAAACCGAGTTTTAATAATTCATTTGATGCATCTGTTTTCTTTGAGATAAATTGTCGGTTCTACACCATGGGAAGAGATGGATGGTGTTTCTTTGTGCTCTGCTATAGTCTCTCTCACGACATCAGACAGACAATGATCCTTTTCATGGTTTTATGGGATTTAACCAAAATGGAACAATCTGTTTGTAATATTTGAACTTTCAGTGGAACTGAGCAGCATCATTATTCATGAAGTGTAGATTTTCACTGTGTCTGAGATGATCAGGCTGCTCTTGTTTTGCATAGGTGTGAGGCACTCTAAACTGCATTGGCTGACCTTATCTTCCATTTTATGACTTTTACATGGCTTCTGTTTGTAATTTTATCAGATGGATAGTTCATGAATTATCGCATTACCAAAAGGGTGAACTTACCAATGAGCCCTTGGCAATGGGTTTGGTTTTATTACTTGGAAGTTTTATCATCTCTTTTCTATGCATTCACAATGGATTTCGTTGGAATTTTGGGTAAGTTTGTGTGGTCTCTCTTCTTTTGATTGGGAATGCAAGTGACTTAGCTTGTATATATTTCCATAGCATAAGAATGTGTTCTTTGAATGATCACAGAATCTGTTAGTGCTTGCCATAGGCCATTGATATGGGGGCAAGACATCTGATATGGATTGAAGAGTCGTATCATTCCTAAATCTTATTACATTAATGAAAATGTGAACAAAATCATGCGTTAGTAATGCGTTTATGTGCTAATTAGATTTATGGAGATAAATATGGGTTGCATTGTCAAACAAATAATATATAACGAGAACCAATAAATATGATGTAAGGCTTACATTATTATGATCTTTTCAATCTTCATTAAATCATCTTTTTTATATGGCGTACTAATTTCACCATTAATCTGCCCCATAATTTGATATTGATGATTGCATTAATATTAATCCCAAGTCCATGATAAATAATAAAAAGCTTTATTAACCATTTCAAGTAAATAGCAATTTGTTGCAATACTTTTTTCGACCATGCTATGCACTTCTATTTAAATTCACAAACAATATTTTTATGTATATAAAAAAAT